AAAAAAAGACAAACAACTCACCACTTTAAATCAACAAGATCTGGTTTTGTTATACTCGAGTTATGATAGGCTCGAAGCTTAGCGACAAGATCAGTTGCATCTTGTGCAGCATTTACGGCTAATGTTTTTGGTATTATTAGCAAAGATCGAGCAAATTCCGCTATAGCCAATTGTTCTCGGGAGCTCTGTAATATAAAAATGTATAAATATCTTATGAAAGGAAAAGAAACTGAAAAAAATTCAGAGTTTGATGATACCAATGATGTTGCAAAGTTTTCTAAATATATTGAGAGTGCAGCTTCCACGCAACCTCCTCCTGCGACGACACTCTTACTCTCTAAGACTCTCTTGACGACGCATAACGCGTCATGTATGGACCGTTCCATTTCGTCGCAATAATAATCGTTCGGTCCGCGTAAAATGATAGAGCTAGCTGTGCGTGCCTTTGGTCTTAAAATAAAAAAAAAGACACAATATTTAAATATAAAATCTTATAGGACCGTACATGTGAGAAACACAACCAATAAAATGTCTTTAACGATCGAGCTGTAAATTATAATTCCGTGTGAATTTATATATTACGTATGTAGTCTTCAACTTTATTAAGATCCAAGATGCTATGAGCAAAATTGTTAAATCACTAGATAATTTAACTCGTGATATTATTACGATAGTTTCGTAGAGTGGCATTTCAAGACCGAAAAATTGTTCGGTGCGCGGTTTAAAAGACTACATACGTAATATAAAAGAGAAAGTTAAACAATCATGCTTTTATTGTTATTTTTCGTAGTATTAATTGAGTTTTATATGGGGTGTCGTATGGCTCTAAATGGGAGCGGTGGACTCGTAATTAACAAATTTCGGAGTAGATCCCTCATTCTATAATGGATTTTAAATTTGTAATGTGTACAAAGCAAATATCTTCAGGAAAGTTATCAATGAAAGTTGAGTAATGGGCTAATAATCTATTTTCATAAAAAAATTAAATACTATGAAATTCTCAAGGAAGATTAATGTCCGACTTGGATTGAGGAATCATAGAATTAATTGCATTATATTAATAGCAAAATATGTACCCTTTGATCAAAATAAGTTCATCATCACATATCATCTCTTGCACTATTTCGGCAGCCTCTCCCAAGAAACTGGCATCAAAACTCTCTTCTCCTTCCATGTTTGTTAGCGACGTTAAAAATTGCGCACCTGTAGCTTTAGCAATTCTTTTCAAATCAGCCTTTTTACATCTGCGTACTGCCATGGTCTTGGTCTCCACGAAATACTATGGAAAGATCAAGATAAATATATCGCACTCAATTCTAGAACTCGTCACTTAAAATATATAATTATACCTTTAGGCATAAATCATCAATGCCACCAGATAAAAGAACGACATTAGTTCCAGCAGCAAGAATCTTCTGAATTCGTTCCTTGGTAATATCTGCCTCACGTTGACGAACGGCTTCGAGTTTTTCCGGATCTGTAATAAGTACTTCAACGCCCAACTTCATTTTTGCTTTCTGCAACGAGAAGTCTAAACATGCGATTTTTGCGTTAGTTATCCTCTTCGGCATTGCTTGGGAGGCGACAGTACAGTTCAAAGCATAGCCTTGAACCAAAATGGACTCTCGAACACTTTTTCCATGTGCTTTCAAGACGTTAACTGCTTTAACAGGATATAAAAATCCTCCTTTGCCATCGTTGATTTTTATCGCGTTAGCGGCGTCGACTACCATATTGCCAAAAAAATTGGCATCACTAATTATTAGTTATAGAAGATATTTTAAATTATTGTTTTTATCAAATATTGAAAACAAATTGCAAACAAGGACTGCAAATAACATCAAAAGGATACGCTCCAATAATTTTGCTTGACATAGATGTTTTTGCAACATTAATTAAGCAATCCCTTCCAAGTTCGTCTACACTGACAGTAAGGTGTTCTTGAATGTATTTGCATGCTTCTCTGAAATTAATTTCATATAAGTTGTATAAAGTATAATTTCTTTTTTTCTTTTGACTCAACATCTATGCAACATTCTTTTGTACGTTAATAATTTAGTTAATTCATTAATCAATTAATTTTATATAAAAATAAAATGATTAAAAATAAAGTAGGATATTTACTTGCAGGCAAGTCTGTAGCCACTGATGACTGAAGTTGGATGTATCTTTTGTTTCACAAGCTCGTCTGCATTTTTTAAAAGCTCAGCTGCTACTATAACCTTTAAATATAAAATAACGCATTTTATTAAATATATATATTTAATTATAAATTTCCCATTAAATACACAAATATAAATAGATCACTTACTACTGAAGTAGTACCATCTCCAACTTCCTCATCTTGTAACTGAGCTAATTCAACCAGAACCCGTGCAGCTGGATGTTCAACTTCTAACAAGCGTAAGATAGTTGCACCATCATTGGTAACAGTGACATCCTAAAAGTATCAATTAGCATAATCATGTAATAATTAATATATTTTGTTCCAATTTTATTATATTTAAAAATTTATTATTTTTAATAATTTTAAAAGATAGAAACTAAATACATACTCCAATGTCATCGACAAGCATTTTATCTAAGCCAACCGGACCCAAAGAACTTTTAACTATATTAGCGATAGCACAGGCAGCCATAACTGAAAGACATAAATAATAATTTACTTCACATATTTACATGCATTATAATATACAGTCACATAAACTATTTGTATAATTAATTTTTTAAATACTATATACCAAGTTGATTTACATTCCTAAGAGTGCGTTCCATTTGGTGCTCACAATAATCATTTATCCTTGTTTAATATAATAAAAGGATAAAATAATTCCAAGAGTGTTGCTAGCATCAAGCAGAACGCACTGCTTTAATTATCTGTCAAGATTTAAACAAAACAAATCTAATATTTGATAGAGTCAATAAATGCATATTATTACAACCTTCACGTTAAGAATAGTCATTTATTTTCCGATTGCTATCCTCGATTACCAAACGCTTGGTACGATTTTATATTAATTATTAAAACAAAATGGTAATAACATTTAATTAATTGTTCAAAAGTCAATACTAATATATGCAACTCCGTTTCGTGAATTCGTAGGTTTCTTGATGAAAAAAAAATGACAAAACACGAAACTTTTCAGACTATGAGACATGATATAACCAAATTCTATGACGATCAGTGTTCGTACCATTTTGTGTTCGTACAGGTGCTCCCGATTGTCGGATGCCTCCAACGGCTAAAGGACTCGCTACCGTCGACATTGTAAAGAAATCGTTGTTATTCTAGAACGATGTAAGCACGAAATCACGTTGCTCGTAACGACGACGCCGCGGAACCGGGAGAACAATCCAAGAAAAGCCGCGTGTGAAGACGAACAATAAATGACGATCAGCGCCCAACTTCATTTCTTATTTCCTTTTACGGTCAAGTGCGGCATCGACAGCTATTGGCTACGCGTTTTATTCTCAAACGTGATTGGCAACCAGTTGAACTGAATTGGACCAGAAAGCAGTTTTTTTTACCAATTTTGAAAATAAAGATTATGAGGATGCAGAAAAGAAATCGACATTGTAATCGAGATTCAGAACAAGAGAAACTCAGAACAATATTGCTGTCACGTGTTGAGAAGTATAATGTATTAAACTTTATGATCATTTTACATAAATCTGATTCCTCATATAAATTTTTTAATTTTAAATATGTACCTCGTTGCAAACGAAAATTTTTCTGAAACTAAATTATATTGTGTGTATACAATTATAGTAGAAATCTTAAATCATCTCTGTTATATATAGATATATAGTGAGAGAATAAAATATGAGAAATCTAAATCCAAATTGTAGACATAATATACGAATGTTTATGGATAATTCACACGATTTGCTTAAGGTCGACAGAAGTGACCCGTGGAGACCAGAAATATTTTTGTTATGCTTTTTTTTTTTTTACAAAAAAATAGCTCTGTCCGAGCCTTCAGGAGCCTTTTCTGATTACGAATATCACAATCAAAACACGATTCATGTTATATTTTAGCCATAATTTCAGTATAAAGGTATACATTTATGAGTGCAGATCTAGATCAGTTATGCTCATTTTTTTTTCTCTCAAAGAAATAATATTTCCTTATGAAACCTATTGGGATTTCATTGTTATATTGCTGGAAAGGCTCGTACAGAGTCAGATTTGCAAATTGATTCTCGAACATTTTTATTAAAATAAGATCATGTATACACCTCTCAACTGCACCATAGTACACATCGAGTGAGATAACAGAATAAATTTTTATTATGCCTTTTTTACAAAAAGAATAGCTCTGTACGAGCCTTCAGGAGCCTTTCCTAATTATGAATATCACAATTAAAACGCGATCCATCCAGTATTTTAGCCGTAATTTGGGAATAAAATATTCATCTTCGACTAGAGGTCTCTGGATCACTCCTGTCGACCTTAAGTAAAGAGTGATGGGGTTTAAAGCGCTTCGTTTCTTTCATTAAATTAAATTTAGAAATTCTTTAAAGTTACGATTGTCTCTTGCTCATTTTCATGCTATTAATATATTTTTACTTGCATCTCATTTATTTCCAATTTCTTTACAGTTTTTATTTTGCTTTTTTATTACAATCTCTTATCTCTCTTTACAATAAAAATTAATATAAATATAATTTTTTATTTTTATTCACAAATAAATGTAACGTGACAAGATTTTTGTATATACATAAATCTTCGGAAATTTCATTCATTGAAATATTATAACAATTGTTGATGTAATCTTAATAAAATTGATACAATATATAAAAGAATCATAATACAGCATACAAAAGAAAGAGAATGAAAATATAATGAAAAGCACTAACGTGCTTTTTTTTTTTACAAGCACACACCATTTTTAGTTTTTTTATTCAAAATGCATTATTGTGCATTATATTGTACATTATATGCACATACTATTATTAAGAAAAATGTGGAGTATAAAAGTTAATTACAATTATACTAATTATTTCATTCTTTTTTGCTTTATCAGATGATTTTTAAGAGCTATTTGTTTCTCTCTAAAAGATCGTTTTACTTTTGTTTTTAATTTCTGTTTTAACATTGAAAATGCTTTCCCTTTTCTCTTCTCACGATTTGTGGTACTGCATAATGGATTTTGTCGTCGATCCTTAAAACCGAATTTGTCTCGTCCTTTTTGCCCTTTCTGGAAATTTAATGATGTACCTAAGCTATATCGTTCTCTTACATACATCAGATTATAGGATTATTTATACTGGTAATAATCTGTTAATTATGCCTTAATTTGTAAGGATTAATCATCGATCACAGTCGACTACTCCCTTCTTATTCGACTGTGATTAGTCAATTCTTAAAGATTATGAAACATAAGTTAACAGATTACGGTCAGTATAAATAATCCTTAGCAATTTATACATACCTTCACAGATTTCTGTCGAGCAACCTTATCATGCTTGCGTTTCTTATATATGTTTTCTATATCGCTAAGTTTTACCAATTCTCCACTTTTATCTATCTCTACTTTATCATGCGTTCTCTTAACGCCACGTTTAATGTATGTTACGTCTTGCTTTGCTAATGCGACATCAATTTTTCTGAAATCTTTATCCGTGAGTAATCTTTCAGTAGATATCACAGATGCTTTCATTTTTCGCTCAGCTGTTAATTCTTCGTTTTTTTCAGATTTAAATTTTGCCTTCTTTTCTAATTTTTGTGCCTTTTTTTCTTGCTTTGTTAAAGCGTTTTTCTTTTGCAAAACTTTATTTGTTTTTTGTTCTCCGCTATCCGCTTCACAAGTATTCTGCACACTACTGTTTTCACTGTGTGATAACGTTAAAGTTTTATCATCTTTATTTTCGTTAATGGAAGATTTCGCTGATTCATTAGTTAACTCGTCCTCGTCGATTTCCTCATCACTGACTTCCTCGTCGCTGATTTCCTCGTCGCTGATTTCTTCGTCGCTGATTTCCTTCCCACTATTTTCACTTACATCGATCCACTCGTCATCATCCTATATTTAAATAATTTTTTATATTATTTTTATCAAAAATAAATAATTGAAAAAGTATTGAATGTTTTCACTTGCCTCTTTGTCGGTATCATTAGTCTCTTCAGTATTCTCAACAGATTGATTATGTAAAACTTCTGATCCTGGTACAAATTCACTTGCTCGAATTTCACCATATTTAGAAGACTTTATCATAACATTAGCTTCTGTAGGACGGCCTCGGTCTTTCTTACATAATAAGTCGGGCATTATACGCCTGAATGTTCCAATTAAAGATTGCGCTGCCATCATAACAGAACGTTCCTTATAATGCTTGTATCGTGTTAAATCCTCGAGTAGATCCTCATTCATGGCCAACGGACATCGTGTACATATTTCACGTACGGTATTTAAACTGGAAATATATATGTTATAAATAAATAGAGCAATATAAGCCACGCAGTGTGTGTGTGTGTAACAATCGTACAAATAAATCATTAAAATAGATTCACATACCCAATGGCCATCACATCTGCAGAATTTCTTTCCGTTATGAAATTGTTTGCCAATGTCTTCAAAATGGGTTCTAACACATCAGGTGGTACTAATTCATGTGAAGCCTGAGCTATGAATTGTAAAAGTTTTGTAACCTCTGAAAAGAAGACAAAAATCTAAATAAAGTTATGTAAAAAATTACATATTTTTTGCATGATTCAGAACCAACAAAAGTTAATTTGTATAGTAATCAAAATTTAAATATTTAGTAATTAGACAATACTCAAATTATAATAACTAAGTTACATTATTAATCTTACCTCGTTGATGAGGCTGAAGGAATCTTTGTATATACGGATAAAAGTTTAAGAGAAATAAACTATGCAAGCCAATAAGTCTAGACACAACATCCAGAGTCATGAGTTTTACTTCAAATCTATCATTATTTTTTTCTATCTGCTTGAATAATTTTTCAGCAAAATCTTGTGGATCATGAATTAGATGCAACGCTGAAAAATTATATTGCGGTGCTTTAGACTTCTTCTTTTTAGCTTTCTGAAAAATACATAAAAATTAGAAGTTATGGTTTGCACTTCTTATAAATATCAAAATGAACTCTGTAATATTAAACTTACTATGAATGATTGTTTAGCTTTCTTTAATTGCTTTTGACGTTTCTTTGTTTTTTTGTTTACTTTATTAGCAATCATAATTTCCTTCATATTTGGCTCATCATCTGAATCACTGTCATCACTTTCTTTTTCTACCGAATGAGTTCCCAGAAAAAATTTCAAACTAGCAACCATTACTTTTGTTATTTTCGAAAAACAACCCGTTGCTATAACATTGACAGTCTTGACGTCGTTCCAAACATTTTTATTATACAATTCTATCATAATATCTACAGACATCTTCGCAGCTCTTACATTTGGATCTTTTAACATAGAGAACATGAAATTTTGTAACACTGTATTAACTTTGGCATTTTTATGCTTTGCATTAATATTTTTAATATCTGTGACAATATGCGTTTGGAGGAATTGTCTTAAGATTTTATCTTGACATCTTAAAAGCTCAAAAAATAAACTGAGAAGTGCAGTAGGTTCTAAGAGGGATTTGTTGCGTAGTTGAATTAACGCTTTACAAAATGTCTGTAAAGAATATAATTATAATATAATAATTTGTGTGCATTCATATTAGCATAGTTTAATTTCCATGTATATTATTCTTACCATTCGCATTTCATTGTCTAGTATAATGTTATGAGTTTGTAATATATCGATAATCTCTTGAGGATATGTTTTCAAATCATTTGGATAACAATGGGCAACCTGTAATAATATACAAAAAAAACGTACAAAAGTGTGTAAAACAGCATCTATTTTAATAGTGATTTCTTAAAATTATAGGAATAATTGTATGTTAACAAATTAAGACGTTATTAGCTATACAATATATTGTGTTATGTATATTATTTATGTATTTATGTACATAATCAATAACTATTATTTTAATTTAAACATTTAAATATTTACTTTATCTTATATTTTTTAAATCTGCGCTGTCTGAAATATGTGTGTTAATGGACATAAGTTATTTTTTCAATATATTAAATTTGTTTAGCGTACATTTAGTTAATTTATTAAAATCATGGATGAAATCAAACAAAGACCTTGTGATGGTTAATCTAAGAATTACTTTTTTATGCGCTACCATCATATACATAATTGTATGTTTAATCGTTAATTTTATATTATTTTGTACTAAGAAGGACCTTAACCATAGGTCGAAACGTATACATTTTATTTATTTCTAATAAATTATAAGAAAAGTGCATTCCAAAAACTTGTGTCGGCTCAAATTGGCATCTTGTTTTATTTTTGTGGTTTATTCAACTGAGCCTTTTGCTTATCTTATATTATTTAAATATTTACATTGTAAAATGAGAAATGTTTAAATAAATACAGTGTATGCGTGAAACAAAACTTTTAATAAAAAGAAACTCAAATTATCATATCAATTTATACACAAAATTAAATTTCTCATAGTTTAAATTTATTTCATTACATTACAAACTATTACATACTTCATATATATAAATAAAATCTTATTCTAATATAAATATCTAACATAAATACGTAAGTTTATTCTTTTATTATCTAAGAAATTTTTGTATAATAAAACATTAAGCAAAGCGGTTAGAAATAAACACACATAAAATTATAACTAAAAATGAACTTAAAAATTGTGTATATGAAGCATGTTTAAACCGTATTCGCACTCAAGTAATTCTTTATTTCAAAGCCAACCGTTTTAGCTACAACGAAAATAAAGTCGTGACTTGCACAGCACTTGAATTTTGTTTCATCCAACTGCGTAATGTTATCTCCGACGATAGATAATAAACCTAGCTGGCACATGGTAGAGATTTGAGCGAGTAAATTAGCATTGATATCTACTTTTTCATCGAGAATAGCGCAAAAGATTGCGAGCATTCTCGAGATGGTAAATACTCGACATTTCTTTTGCGCATCTTCTTTCGTTTTTTTAATTGACCGTATCTTTTTCTTTTTCTTACTACTTTGCTTCATAAAAATATGCTTGTCATACTTTGCGGGATTGTACGAAGCTAAATACGCCGCGATTAACATGTACTTTGCGTAAAACGGTAGTTCAAAACTCAGAGCTAGCTTTGTCGTGGACTCAATTTCTCGAGACATTTGATAATCGGGTTGCAAAAAATCGTTTGTAGAAACTCTAAGGTAAATTATTTCCAAATTGGACCTCAAAGTAGCAGAGATGTTTCTCCATAGTGCAGCAATGTTATCTGGCTTGATTCGCTTACTTTCTATAGGTTCTACATACTTTGCAAAATTTATTTTAGCCATGTGCTGAAGCTCATTTAGATCTCTACAAAATCGGAAAAATACAGAAAGAAAAAGATTCAAATAACTCTTATAAAAATCTGTATCATAATTCGTTGATTTATCTAATAATAGCAATTGTGCTAATTCATCTTTTGTGTACTGGGGAAAATAAATTTTTATAGGCCTCAATGTGCCTATCTTGGTATTGAATTTATCCCACACGATCTCACTTATCAAAATCGTACAAATATTAATACCGGCTAATTCTCTGAGTCTTAAAATCGCTGGCAAAAAAGTCACATCAAAATGTCTTATCTTATGACATTTATCGAATACTAACACGATCGGACGTTTATCATTGCAAGAAATCTTTTTAAGCGCAATTATAAAATCCATAATATTGTCGCAGTTGTATTTTGATTGTGTGTCACCATTTAATTCTTTTATAGATGTGATTAAATCATCTAGGATGTAGTTATATAGGTGTTTACTGCCTAAATGCTCTATACAATTAACATAACTAACATTATAGTTTAAATAATCGAGTAGACTTTGTATAATTAAAGACTTTCCAGTAGCCATGTGTCCATAAACAAAAATGCTCTCTGGCATCGGTTCATCTGCTACACCGATTAAAGAATACAACCGTGCTATAATTTTCTCACGGCATATAATGTTATTTTTTCTTATCTTTTTTAAATATTTTTCCATGATTATACATTAAAATTACTCAATAAATAAAACCGGAGTACAATTAATTTTTAGTTTTTATCGCTGTGTCACACTTATCTGAGACAGAGACAAACAATAGCTTTGACAATTAAATTAATAACTTTCTTATAATGGATTTAAGATAATACTTAAATTTAGACAAATCGCACATATACTTTTATTACTTCTACGTTTTAAGCATATGTGTATGTGCTAACCTGAGCCAAGAAGGTTACTAGCTCATCGAGACTTTTGTTAAATTGCGTGGGCTCCAGATGGAAAACTTCTAGTGTAGACTTATAATGCAGATGTTGCTGAAGAAACTGCAAATAAACATATGTTAAATATTTTAAATAACCAATTTTCTTTCTTTATGTAACATATATACAAAAATACATACAGAGAGATTGCTTGTGTAAACTATATCTTACTTTTAAAACCTATGAATAAATGTTTGTGATCATTACAAGGAAAAAGCGCAATGAGGTCTAGCACAACATGGTAACTAAGAAGAAAGCATCTTTATTATCTAGCTCTTTACAAACATTTATAGAAAAAAGTCAAAACTAAAGGCAAGTATAAAAATAATATTTTATTTTCATAATTACGTTCTATTGATATGGTATACAGTAAAATTAAATTACATAACCAAGCATCTCATAAATATGCGTGTTACGAAAAAATTTATACATATTACATATACAAACAATAAAACAATTAATATATCAATAAAGAATGAAATATGAAACAAAAATAAAGAAAGGCATATTGCTCTATGAAAAAATTATCAATTGATAATTAATAGATTCTGGCCCATATTCAGAACGCACTTACAACAATGTTAGCGTTCAAACATACTATAGTTTACGTTACGCATATAAAATTTCAGAGAAAAAGCGCGCTTTTATTAATAAAAACGTGTTCTGAATACAAACCTCTATGTTTAATCTCATCCCATACATGCCTTAGATTTATAGGAAATTACAGAGAAGATCACAACTCCTTTTAAGAATCCATATTTCATTTACATTTACAAGATATAAGGGTATACAAAGGGTTATAATATAAGGAATATAAATAAAAAAATATAATATAAAAAATAAAATATAAAAAAATAAAACCCAATAAAAATATATGAGACTTACCTCTTCCTTGTAAGATTCTGGATCACGCTTGATAAGATTCTGCAATTGTGGAAGATTATCCGGTAATTGATTGTTATGTCTTACCATTTTTAAAACCTATACAAATAAATAATTTATCATTATAAGGAACAAATGTAACAGAGTTTAACAAAATACGAAAAGAAGTGAGAAAAGCATCTTTATTGCAAAATCGGATTTTGTATACTTAACTTTCGTAACTTTAAGCTGCTTTAAGCATGGTATATAAATACAAGGCGGGTATGCTCGTCCGGTGGTAGATTACTGTCATGAAGCCCATGAAGGGTTCTCAGGAATTGGAGTGGTGGTCATCACCTCGGCTGTTTCCGGAGCGTTTCGTGTTGGTTCGGCTCCTTGAAACAGGGCCTCCAGTCTATAGACCGGAGACAGCAGAAGAGAGAAAGCAGAGACGTAAGCAGCCGCCGCTTACGTTCTCAACTGTGATTGGTCAATTCGCTTACTGATTACGTTACATTCCTATGTCCATGAATTTGATGTAGGTAGTGCATCTATGTATTGATGAATATCGGCTAAATAATTGAACGCCGTGGTCCGGCACGTTGTTCCGGTTGTTCGTTCCTTTTCGTCCATCGTTTGGTGGATGCGGTGCGCACGGAGTAATCCGTTTCAATCAGCGATATATCGTGGCCGAACGTGATTCAAAATGACGGAAACTTTACAATTAAGAGGCACACTTCGTGGTCACAATGGATGGGTCACGCAAATTGCGACAAATCCGAAATATCCGGACATGATATTATCCTCTTCACGTGGCAAGTATCGATCATTTACCTGACTTTACCTTTTTTTTTCCAATCTCTCTTTTCAGTTTTGTAACGAAATTCTGATTTTTTTCCCCTTTATTTTAATTCACTAATATACTTCATATGTTTTACTATAAATTTTGTGTTACAAAATACGATTTTATTTAATTAGTAAATTTTACGTATATCATGTAATATTCCATCTGTTCGTACAGTAATTGTAGAACTAGCAATTAGGATGATTCAAACTTTGGTAAAAAGATTATTTTTATTAGTTGAACTTCTTACATAATTCATTTTGTTCTTGTGTCTAATTTCTTTATTTCTAGGTAACATTATCCAAGAAATATCTCTCAGAATTCAATTGCAATATCTCCTTGAGTTATTCACAATTTATCCGGAAGTAAAGAAATTAAGCACACAAAGCTGGTATCCATAGTCCGTTCTTAATCTCAAAACCATTTCTAGCAATGTCTTAAGATACTAATATGGCTCTTTGATTGGTTTATATCTTAAATATTAACTTAAGACCGTTTTGAATCTGGAGTAACATTTATAGATTCCATCCTTAAGCAGGAAGCACAGACTCTTGCGTAACGCATAATACATAAGGCATAAGAAATTCAACCCTTCTCCTTCCAATCAGGGTATCGATCATGAAACTTTTTTCCTAGGATGAAAAGTGAAAAGTAAAAAATTTCTCCATTAACTACAATGGTAAAAATTTTTACTTTTTACTTTCCATCCTAGGGAAAAAGTTTCATGATCGATACCCAGAGTTCTTTATTTCATGGAAATATAAAAAAGGAAATGTAAACTTATAAGAAGTTCAATTAAAAGGAACAGGCTTAAAATTTCTGTATTTAATTTATTTGTCCTAGTCTATTATTTTTAAAACAGTTTACAAGTGAAAAGCTTGAAAAACTCAATTATCTTTTTATTTTTTGTGAAAATAAATCTTAGTATTGAATATTAATAAATCTAAAGTTTAGTCAAAATCATCTAAATTCTTGGAAATGACAATTGCAGCTTATGTATTATTGTTTTATTCTAGATAAGACTTTGATTGTTTGGAAATTGACACGTGACGAAGCTAACTATGGCATCCCCCAAAAACGTCTTTATGGCCACTCACACTTTATAAGCGACGTAGTTCTTTCGTCCGATGGCAATTATGCTCTGTCTGGTTCGTGGGATAAAACATTGCGTCTTTGGGATTTGGCAGCAGGTCGTACGACTAGAAGGTTTGAAGACCATACCAAGGTGTGACTTCACTCTTCCACAACAACGATACATATTTGAATTTTCTTCGTAACAAAGATAAAAGAAAAAATTTTCATATTGTGAAGTATTGCTTCATAATATGATTTTTTATTTATCTTGATTACGATGGAAGAAGTAATTCCATAAAAAATTTGAAATAACTGAAGCTTTTTTTTTTATATTTTTTTTTAATTGAGAAATAGAAGAAAGGTAGGATTAAATCAGTGATGCCGTAAGTATTCGATATTAAAAAATATACTAAAAAATATCGATCTGATATTAACAAATTATGGATTAAATATTGCTATGTTAATTAAACTTTTTAATTAATTACTGTTGAATATAGGATGTTTTGAGCGTCGCTTTCTCTGTGGATAATCGTCAGATTGTCTCTGGTTCACGAGACAAGACGATTAAATTATGGAATACATTAGCCGAGTGTAAATACACCATCCAGGATGATGGACACACAGATTGGGTCAGCTGTGTGCGCTTCTCTCCCAACCATGCAAATCCTATCATTGTTTCTGCAGGCTGGGATCGTGTTGTCAAGGTAAGAACAAAGCTTATATTTACAAGATTTATGATAAATGTAAACATTTGATAAGAATGATGGATCTTATATATTATATACATGATATATCTATGAGTGTATGCGGATATGGGACTGATTTCAAATTTTTATATATTTTGTTTCTAATTGCACGATAAATTTGTTAGTAATTTTAGCAATTCGCCTTTGCAGGTCTGGAACTTGACAAACTGCAGATTGAAGATCAATCATAGTGGCCATACAGGATATCTGAATACTGTTACGGTATCACCTGACGGATCACTCTGTGCATCCGGTGGAAAGGTGCGAATGGCACATAGCATATTTATCATTTAAAATGCATTTATCATATAAATTATATATTTTTATTTGCAGGATTGCAAAGCTATGCTGTGGGATCTAAATGATGGAAAACATCTCCATACTTTAGATCATAATGACATTATTACAGCATTATGCTTCAGCCCTAATCGTTATTGGCTTTGCGCCGCGTTTGGACCATGGATCAAAATCTGGGATCTCGAGACTAAAGAGATGGTTGAAGAACTGAAACCCGAAGTCGTATCTGCAACCAGTAAAGCAGAACCTCCTCTTTGTCTGTCTCTTGCATGGTCCACGGACGGCCAGACATTATTTGCTGGATATTCTGATAATACTATTCGTGTCTGGCAAGTTTCTGTATCTAGCAGATAAATATTTTGTAATAAAAACTTAAAATCAATTCTCAACATTATTTATAAGTCTTATTATTTACAATTAAGCAATATATAATATGCGATGTACATAATTATATGATGTGCAATCAACTACAATCATGTCTATTTGTCTTTACTTTCTTCTATTTTCTTAATTTGTTCAAACTTTTGAAATTCTTTCTCAGCAATTTTATCCGTCTCATCCTCTACTTGTATAACTCCGAGTACTTCAGGGATGTAGAATTGCATCATATTTTGTACGCCATTCCTCAATGTTACTACCGAGCTTGGACAATTAGTACACGAACCTTGCATTTTTAATTTCACAATACCTTCCTCGAAACCCTGTTGTAATTATAAGAAATACAATGTATTATATTCAAGACAATGGGTTAATGATAGAATTTCTTAAGATTTGAAAACACTTGCCATAAAAACAATGTCACCACCGTCTTCCTGTACTGTGGGACGTATACGTGTATCCAATAATTCCTTTATCATCTGAACAATCTCATCATCTTCTGCATTGATTTCTACAAAAACGAAACAATCAGCATTTTATTTTATACTTTGAACATTTTGTATAAAATTGTAAATCATACGCGTATCTGCTGCTGGCTGAGAAGTTTCATCCATGACTGGTAATCCACTTGCGAAAAAATCCATGATAGTAGCAAATATCTCTGGCTTCAATAACTTCCATTCTATATCTTCATCGAGTTTCGTAACCGTGATAAAGTCAGGTCCGAAAAATATTGCTTTTACTCCTTCGATACGAAATAACATTTTTGCAAGTGGCGAGCAGTATGCATCCTTAGCGCTTGGAAAGTCTTTTGTACATCCTTCTCCCAATACTGACACTCCTGGGATAAATTTCAAACTATTCGGATTTGGTGTATCTTGCGTTTGGATAAACATACTACGTTTTTGTTGTATTAAGGAACTGCATTTAGGGGAAAGTGTACAAACTGTTCCATCACCGTGTAAATGCCTAATGCCAATGGAGAGAGCTCTGAAAATGATGTATGTAAATATTACTTAGGGAACATTGTTGAATAACAAAGGTATACTGATTTATGTTACACTGTGCCAAAAACAGATTTTGCAAAACATTTGCTGTAAATTTTGTCAATGAAATGTCAATAGAAATAGAATACAGAATCTTTCAACAAAATACTATAGAAGCAAAATATTAACTAATACTTTGTCAGCAGATTTAAGCAGAATATTTTGACAAATTGTGCTATCTCTGTACTTTATAAATTTGTGTTTTACCAAGAAAGCTTACAATATAATCTAATAGTAGAAACAGAATAAATATCATTTTGTTTACAAAGAATTATCGTTTAAAAGTTATAAAATTCTATTTAATTCTTACGATTAATATAATATCATCTATTAGCAGATTTTTGCTGACAATCTGCGAATTAAACTGCAATAGTCAAATCTGTTTTTCAGACACATTTGATTAAATTTTTTCATATATATGGAGAAACAATACATAGTTGTAAACCTTACGTCGAATATTCTTGCGCCAATAACGCTCTACTGATTGCAGGTACATTTTGCTTCACAAAAAGTTTATTGAATGTTCTGAAAAACATAGATACATTTACACAAATCTACATCTATCAGTAGACATATAAACATACATAGGAGAAGAATGTATGTATGTTCAATGGAAAGTGACTTACTTACTGCGTACATTGCTCGTTTGTTAATGTTTTATACAATGCTGGCCGACTCGTATGAAACGATCTAAAAACTTTATCCATTGCTGTTTCCAACAATTCTAACTGTCTCGCCTCCTCAAATTGTCAAAGATTTCTCATCTTTTCATCGACGCATGTGCACAAGCGTTGTCTCAGCAATATGCGCGCTTTACTTGTATTTTTTTTTCTATATTCCTCGAAATTTACTAAATATAAGATACAGCATTACCTTATCAGAATAAGAAACAGCATTCTTTGTTTTGCAAACTGAAGAGATATCGCAAATTAGATAAATTGCGTTGCAATTACAAAACTTTTATATAAGGTCTGTTCGCGTTGCACTGCTCACTCTGCCAATTTTACATGTGACAGAAAGACCCACCCGGTAGACATTGCCAGTAGTGTCTGATGTATTATTTTATCCTTGTTCACTGAATATTAAACAAGGATAAAGTGATATGACATACTTAAAATAGAACATAGGCGAGAAACACATACTTTTGCATACGCATAAAGCATGTGCATAAGGAATTTCATTGGCCCATTTTCTTATGCATGAGTCAATGAACCAATCAAATTCTTTATGTATATGGTTTATGCGTTATACAAAAGTGTGTGTTTCTCGCCTATGTTCTATTTTAAGTATGTATATCACTTTATCCTTGTTTAATATTTCAATAAACAAGGATAAAATAATAAAACGGTTGCAAAACTGACGAGTTTGCTGAACGCAATTGGGCGGTGCCTAGTAACTTTTCTCTGTTTTACCAATGATTATATTATTTTTAAATTGGCCAATCAGCGAGCAATATGTGCAATCGTAAACTTCCCATTTTACTTAACAATGACATAACAATAAAGGATGAGGCTACATCAGAATTTCATGTAAACTTTTTTGTAATTTTTCGAAACTAATTTATATTATTTTATTAAAATTTAATGTAGCCAAAATATAAAAGATGTTATATGTTACAAACCCTTGGTCCATTTGCTACGAATGCTTTGAAGCATTTTTTGATTGGACAATTAGTATAATTCTTTCTTCTAATTGATCAGTCAAAAGCTTCGAAGCATTTGTAGCGCTACAAGTGGACCGCATCCCTTGATTAGTTAATCTTTTTTCAAATGTATTAGTTAAAAAATAAATTTTATCTTCTAAAATATATCTGATAGTTTAAAAATAAATCCAAAACAAATTGAAGACGATTGAGATTTTAATAATATAGTAATTATAGACAATATCTAATGTAGCAACCATATAATAATCCTGTTATAAAATTTATTGTATGGATTATTAAATCTATTTTTTTTACTCTTATTATACATATATTTGTAAAGCATGTCCATCTTTGAAAATACAAATATAGTATATCATAATAGAGAGATAAAGTAAAATTATTATATATATAATTAATAATTTTTAAATTAACTTTTAACTGTACAGTACTCTTACTGTATACAGTAAACTTATAATAAATATTTAATTCTACTGTTTTTTATTCTTATTGTTTATTTCCATTTTTTGTACACATAATTAGTTTTTTATATCTTTTTGTAATATATTTAGAGTTTAAAGATAAATTATTGTATAAATATGGATTTAATATAAACATTTAACATGTTTTTTATCACTCGTTTGTGCTATATTTAATATTATATATATTTTATATTATATTAAATAAAAATAAAATCTTTGAAAAAATTGTAGTAATAAAATAAAACAATATGATACTATGTTTAATTATTTTTCAATATTAAATAACATATCGAGGTGGGTTTATAAAATGGAGATCATTATATACTACAGATTCGTCTCTACGAATACCTCCAAAAACTATCAATTCTCCCCTTCCCATTACAAGAGAATATAGAATTCTCTCATCGGGTCCCGAATGATCATTTTGTTTTAAGGGAATCCACAAAGCCTTGCAGTCGTCCGAAAGAACATTAGTAATATCCAATACAAATATTGATAATGTGTTCTCAGCTTTTTTGGATACTTTCATCAGCTGTGTTTTCTTATTACGAATTTTCTCCTCCATTCTTCTTAGCGATTCCAATTGACGTTGTCTATTCGTGATTGCGTTACTACGAAGAGGTTGATCGCGAAATGCAGCCATGCTTAAAGTATTATCACTGTAAAACGGTATCGTTTTTGGAATATTAGATGTATGCGACGAAGTATGTGCATTTTGTGAATGTGATCTGGAAAATGCTCCATGCCGTCCATTTATATTTTCATCCTTATCTACAGTTGATACGTTTTCTTGCCTAAAAAATTTGTACAATCAATTGATTAATAATAATAGCAAAACCGTTACAATTGTTTATTAGCTTTTCATAATGTTATACTATAAATATCATTATAATTGCATCACACCTTTCGGGCACAAGATTTGATTCACATAAACGTGGTGAAGTACTTCTTTGAACCTTTTTCAATGAGATACTCATATCATTTGACTTTGTTTGACGTTTAGTTTTGCTAAGTACAATAATATAATTTCCCACCTATACAAATAATATTTTATATATGTATATTAAAATCTAGCAATAGGGCTATAATAATAAATAGGCTAATTATATTCAATAAAGTAGCATTTTAATGGAACTAAATATTATATATTTTAGAATTAAAGTAAATACCTTACAAGCTTGATGACACCAAATACGCGTCGGTGCCCATTCAGTATTGTGCATATTGACTTTCTTCCATGTCCAAGACTCACTTTCCATTGTTAACAACCAAGCATCATTCATAGCAGCATTTGGTCCCGTGCAACCTCCTGCAGATTTTCAGATTTTCACGTAATTATTTAATTATATTTAATTGTTTTGACAATAATAAATCGAAATTTCAATACACTTTATATATAAAGAAAATTAACAAGATTAAAGCTTATTTCAATCAAAATACAATTATAGGAGTGAATAATAATACAGCACAAGTAGACGTTTTTCTTACCAAGCACAAGTAAATGCTTTTCCCCAAGTTTAATTTGTGATTGGCCATAACGTGGCTGCGGCTTCAAATTTGATGTACTTTGTTTGTGCCAGGTATACGAATCCAAATTTAAGCACCATATATCGTTAGAACTACTTTAAAATAGTACAAGCAATGTTATGCATAAAAAATTACAGTGTGTGTTTTACTTTCATACGTATAAAATTTTACAAAAATATACCTGTAGTATCCATTACAAACTCCACCAAAAACAACCATTAAATTCCTATGTATTGTTGCAGAATGAGCAGATGTTGGTGGTGGAGTTTCTAGTGTGTTTATAGCAGTCCACTTATTTGATTTTATACAGTATACATGTAATTCATTAAACAATTTCCACTGCTAAAAATATATTACCTATTTTAGTATATTTCAATGTCTATTCTTTTAAATTATATTACAAATAATTGTATATAATATAAACTGTAGAAAATAAAGACGGTAACAAAAATTATATACCTCTCAGTTTATGATTTGATTATATAAATCTAATGCAAGAATGTTTTATAAAAATCTAATATAAATATATATATGTATGCATACATGTGTCTCAACTGAAACTATTATTTTCTTATTTAAATAGTTACCTGATGTAAAGGATATGGTGATGGATGAGACCAACCTCCAAATAAAATTAAGCTGTTTTTATAATAAAGCATAGTGGCACAAGCTTTAGGGGATGGATAGTTGCCCATAGTGATTGGTCTAACCCATGTTCTTGTGCCTAAATCTAACTTCCATAAATCATTGAACGTTGTCATTGTAGCTGTACAGCCACCAAAGACATACATGGAGTTATCGTATATACAAGCAGAATGTGAATGTCTTTTTCCAATAGTAGATATCCAATGCATAGATGGTAATGAATCCCATAACAAAGATCCAAAAGCGACAGACTTTTGAAAATGTGCCTCATTGTGCTCTGTTACATCTAGTTAACAAAAAATATATATTAATATGTAGAACTGATTAATGGGTTGATATATCAATTCATTCATGTAGCAAATTCATATGTTTGACATATAAATAAGTATGTAAAGGATAATGTAAAAGAAACATACATACTTTTGGTAGCGCGGTACCATCTTTTACAAACAAGCTTGCATTCTTGGAGATCTTTGTAAGGTGGTATCAAACTTAGGATATACTCCAACAATTCGTCAGGTAGATCATTGATTTTACATTGCATTTTGCATGGAGTAACCATAAGCATACCATGAAAATCGACTGTAATTTGTACAAAATTTCTGGACTTGGGATGTCCTCATTTCCACATGGAGAGAAAAAAGTTCATTCTTAAAAATATATTTTTCATGAAAACATCATCATTGCACGAACCTTTTTACTAGAGGAATGTGTATGCATTTTTATTATCGTACATAACAATTCTGACAATTTGACAAAACTTACAACTATAATTTAGAATAATTTATAAGTATGTAATCCAAACTGGAAGAAAAATAGGAATAGGCTCAAAAATGACTTTTTGTTGCACTGTTTTTTTGTCAGTTGTCTGTCCGTCTGTCATACCACAAATTGGCCGCATTCAGCAGAGTGTTTATCTCAAATTATCAAGGGATGCTGGACTGACGGCCCAACTTGATCGAGGTCGATAGTACAGACTTGTTAATTCCAAATTCGTTAAGTGACATCTTTCATTCGTATCTTATATTACATTGAGCGCGTTCAGCAGACTCAACGGGTGCATCCAGACGACCATGCATACGACCGCTCACTGAGCGTTTATGGGTACAATTGTAAACTGTGGCGATATATATACGGCGATACCTTTATAAGGAAAAATCTTAACCTCAACACGACTTCGAATTTCGATTTGTTTCGATTCTTTTAACGCTGCTGGATGTGTTTCGTTATGCTATAAGCACTTTTTATCTATTTCTTGTCGAAATATTAAAATAGAAGTTGTTTGAGATTGTTCAGACTGACTATAACCAGATCACGTGTACCATGATTATGGCAACCTGGAGATTACTGTCTCCTATTAATAGGAAACAGTTTAATCTGTTAAATTTCTTTTGCACTAGGTAAAGAAAATTATTTTATTTTTCTACAATTAATAATTTAAATCTGAGTAATAGTTTTTAAAGGTTTATATAAAACACACAAGTAACATGAAATGAGACCAAATGTTTTAGCAGCATGGAAATCGTTATAACATTTTATCATTATCTATATGGAGATTTCCATGTGATTTCTCAGTTATTGCAATTATCCCTGAAAACATTTTGATTAATATACATAAAAGAATAAGTATTAAAACGAGACAACTAAAATATTTGTATAATAATATATATTTTTTATCTCTTATGTTGTCATAGATATAAATAAATATATTAAAATAGAAAAAAATTTATATTAAAAGACTAAATAATTAATTTTTTATCAGGGAATTTGCTTCTGCACAAAACTTTACTACATCCAAATCAAAACAGAATATAGAAAAAGATAGTATACCACCAAAGCCAAAGAAGCCACCAAGTGTATTTCTGTTATATTACAACTCTATAAGGAATAAATTGCAAAAAGAATATCCTCATTGCAAACCAAAAGAACTTTCAAAGATAGTATCAGAGAAATGGGCACAAATCGATCCAACAGAAAAGCAAAATTTACAGAAGCAATTTCGTGAACAAACTTCTATATATAAACAAAAATTAATGGATTATGAGAATTCTTTAACTAATGAACAAAAGATAGAAATAATACAAAAGTTATTGAAAAAAGGTCATACTTTGAAGCAGGGTGAAATCAAACAAGTATTTATATTGAGATGACTTCTAGTATTTATATGTATTGTATGTATACTAAAATTTCGTAATTATATAATATTCTTTTATTTTTCTGATAGAAACTGATAGAACTTGGGAAGCCAAAACGGCCATTACCTGCCTTCATGTTATTCATGCAAAGTAAAAAGAGTACCAAAAACCCACAAGAATCATATAAAGTAAGTTAATTATACAATTTCCTAAGTCAAGTATATCTTACTTTAGTATAAGTTGCTAGAAACATTCTCCTTTTTGCATAGTTTATATATATATATATATGAATCTAATAAGATGTTTAACAAATAAGATAATCAAAAGACTCAGTTAAATCAAAAGATACAAACAAAATGCCAAAATGAGCCAACACAAGTTATCAGTGTGTACTTATTATACAATTTATTCGAAAAGAATAATTTAATTTAATTTTTTGTTATTTTATTTTTATATTAATTTAATATGTACTGAAGAGGACCTTAACCGTAGGTCGAAACATATACACTTTATTATTCATTTCGAATAAATTGTATAATAAGTTCACACTGATAACATGTGTTGGCTCATATTGGGAAAATATTTAAAATCTTAAAGTCTTTTTAAAAATTGTTATTAAAGTTTACTATTGCTATTAATTTTTTATTAAAATAGCTTTTTATATTTCTAGGATTGGCTAAATAATGTAATTAATGAATGGAAAAATATGACAGTGGAAGCTAAAAATAAATACAATGCAGAAGCAAGTGATTTATTTAAAAATTATAAGATTGAAGTGGAAAAATGGAAGGAAGAAATGATTCAAGCAGGTCATTATAATATTGTAAAATCCAATGTTAAATCTAAACTCGAGACACATAAACGTGAAAAATAGGATTCAGAGTGCCCCAACCAATGTAGTATGCCTGTCGTTGAATCTATTGCTGCAAATTTCTCCAATGTTAAAATTGAAAATAAAGAGAATATTAAAATAGGTTGGGGCACTGATACTACTCAGTATACATTTGGAAAAGATCCTGGTACTAACAGTGGTAATAAGAAAATTGCATTAACTTCAAAAAATTATATTTATCAGTGTTTGTAAAATTATAAAATATCCATATCTAGATCAACAACATGAATCTACAAAGGGCATGGTACTTTGCGGTAACAAAAATATTTTGAAAACTACAGTGGAATGCTCAAGGAAGATAGCAGTGAATACATCGATAAATGATGTTAAAAAGTCAATTGTACAACCTCAAGACACACATACATATATACAGATATATACATATTTTGTCTCAACATGGAAAAGAGTTTTAATAGTCCTAAAAGAGATTAGTGAAAACTGGAAGACGGTAAGAGAATACATATTTATTGGCACAGTTGGTATTCTAATATCAATATTTTGCATTTTAAATCTTATGTATAAATAAGTACTGTTTGTGTAAACTGAGACTTATTGGTAATTTGTATTTTATTTTTATACCTTATGCACTTTGTAACGTGTAATAAATATGATATAGTTTATTTCTGTAATAAATTTGTGACCTATTATATTTCTGTGTAAAATATTTCTTGATTATTACGGTAATTAATTATCCTTTCTTGCACATAATATATATAGAAATTAACATTTTAAATATAACAATATTAATTTTGTTTAATTCTTGAAATGTATATACTAACATCTTGTCTTTCCTTCTTCTTTTTTCATAGAAATTATACTAATCCAAATGAGGTGACTATTATGATGACAACAGCAGACGTGCGATAATTTATGCTATCTCAACATTACACATACATATATTCATTATATATTTAAATTGAATATTATATTCATTATATTTATATTCAACATTATACATGTGTTATAAATTTACATTATTAAGGAAATTTACACATTATTATTTTAAAAATTGTAAAATTTATCTCAAATGACATGATATTTTTTATTTTACTATTTTTTTCTCATGTATGTGTGAACGATGTTATAATATGTTTATGAATTATAAATACTTAAAACATGTTTCCAAATAGTAACAAAAAATTAATATACTTATATAGTTTTTCTTTTCACTTTAAATAACATTATCCTTATATATCATAGTCCATCAATTCATATTATAATCCTAATTTGGTAGAAATAAGCAAGCTTATTTTGGATTTCTTCAATCTCTATTTATAAAATGATATAATAATAAAAATGTGGCATATATCATCTAAACGTGATTATTACGCTAGTATAATCTGTATTTAACAGGGTGTTTCCTTTAACTTAACCATTTAAAATATCTCCGTTGTTTTTGATGATATGGAAAAATACTACAAGGAAAAGTTATTGTTCAATTGGAAGGGACACATTATGATAAGCAAAAATTTTTCTCAAGGTCATGGTTTTTGAGATTTCAAGATCATTGCGATTTTTTTAAATAAAATAGCATATTTTTGTTAATGTAGTAATGTAGTTCATAAAAAAACAAATTCAACTATATATATGTTGTCTTTCAGATGACCTTGAACATAAAAAATCACATTAAAGAAAAAAGAATAATTAACATACTTAGTATTTTCAATGAAGATATTTATTTACTTTAGAAGATGTTCGAAATAATTGTTATTAACTTCCACACATTTTTTAATGCGATAAAGTATTCTTGAACATATATGTCTTTTTCTTGATATTGCAGAAATGCGTATGATGCTGAAACAACTGCTTTATGTAACGTTAAAAGTACACTAAATGTCTTTAAACAATTCTAGCAATTCATGTTTCCTAGGTTATATTAAGAAAAAACAAATATATATATATATATATGTGTGTGTATAGGATAAAAAAATTTAGAAGAGGAATTGTTTTAATTTACAATTTTTTATTCTTTTTTTAAAACAAGCAGTTGAATTATATTAAAATTAACCTTTTATTTTTAATGTCTTGTTCTTAATGAAAAGAAGATTGACATCGAGAAAACGAATTGGTAATATAGTTTGCACTTCCCTATCATTAAACATTTGTTCTTATATTCTTCGTACTTTTAATAATTCTAAAATCTTAATATCTAACATATTTAGTGATCCTTATGAATTTGCTCCTTTATTTACTATTTCTTCAATCATTAACTTAAATTAGAAAGAAATTCTATAATTTTTTGCAACAGAATTTTTAACTATAAATCTCGTCCGTAATTTAATTGTTTTAATTTCCTGAAATTTTTATATTAAAAAATTAATATGTTTATATATCTTTCAAATTTCTTTATCATACGCAAGTGTAGTGCGTGCACGCACTGACATATGTTTAAAAAAGTTAAATACATTTATACCGCCTCTCTTATTACTATACTTAGAAATTAGAATATTTATTTTATAAAGAATGCAAGCAATATTCATGCAAGTCATCTCTGAATAATAAAAGGTCTGTTTATGTTGCACTTTTTGCACTTAATTTTATTGTTTTTTCTTTTCAATACCCGAATATATATTTATTTCATTTTAAATGCAACAATTTTGGCGGATTTCAAGTGATTTTAAGCACTGGAATACATACTTTAAAGTTTAAATGGAATTTTGGTCATGAGAATTGTCTTGTTTACAAATCGCGTAATTAAAAACTCGGATAAAGTGAATAATCTGTTTAACCTAACTTCTAATCATTTTTTAAATCTTGTAAATATCGGATACTGATAGAAAAGATTTGTCTTCAAGAAAAAGAAGAAAAACAGTAAAACTGCGAAAGTACGTTTTTTTTATGTCATTGTGTCGTAAACGATCAGAAATTTATTCTACTTGATTTTCCTCGGCTATTCTTGATTGACGTGCAGTTTAGATCAGTTTAGGTGTTGTTGTGCACGTTACAAAAGGGCTTACGTGGACTCGCGTTAAATTGTTTTATTCAATTTAATTGTGTGAAATACGACGATGGCTGAAATGAACACTAAGAGAGAAGCGAGAAGGCGGCGAATATTAGAAAACTGCGAAAGTCGTCTACATAAAATTACAGGGAAAGTTCATCTGGTCGAAAATAAAGGTAAACATAACCAATACGTTAAGTAGAAACAGTTTAGACTATTTAAAAGATTTAATCCTAGTTTAACGTGAGATGCACAAAAGTAAATACATATTTCAAGTTTTGCGAAAATCTAATAATACTTCGAATAAATAAACACATTTAATAAGCAAAATTTGACAGTATATCAGTAACTTACCAGAAAATTTAAACAAATTGCAAAGATTGACATCAGCTATATTTGCATTTAGATTTGTATATTTTCCTAGCAGAAGTTACTGACACAATATAACAACAGCTAAGACACTGTAACAACAGTAGTAAAAATCGAACAGCATTTTTGTGATCTATTTCTGTTGTCAATCAGCATTAAGATATATATATATATATATATATAACAAATATATCTAATTTTATTTGATTTTTGTCAAACAATCATCATCATTATATATATTTTGTTGTTTCTGTTTGTAATTTTCTATGTTTCTGTTAACATTCTATCTGCTATGATCAAGTTGTAGAAAAAGGCAAACATGTAATTTAAAGTATACACACACGTACGCATATGCTTGAATTTTGTACAATTGTAAAAAGAAAATGGATGCATTAAATAGGAATTGAAACTGTTATCCTTTTATAGAATTTAATTTTTAAACAATAGGATGTAAGGAAAAATATATGTGCATTTTAATTAAAATTTTGTTTCATTTATAAACAAATAATCACTTATATTTTAATAATATTTTATCAAAGTTAGACTGGTTTCAATTTCTGACAATGAGTATTCTTATGATAAAATAAATGTTAATATAACAAATCATTCTTGTATATCACTGCATTGATAATATTTCAAATGTATAACATAAAAAAAATAAAGTTGTAAAAGTTGTGAAAAAAATTGTTTTATCTATTCTTGATCTCTTTTCTATATCTTAAAATATTTGTATGTGTGTAAATAATATTTACTAGTACGTTTTTAATATACAATATAGATAAAAATGGATTTGAACAGATACAGTTAAAAAAATCTTTTGCAGATAATGATCCACAAGTGGAAAGCAACAGTTTTAAAGTGGAATCGACAGAGAATTTTGCAGAGGACAATATCGGAAATGGTGTATGCAATATTAGTAGCAACACAAAATTGCAAAATTGCACAAGATTTGATAACAGACATGAAAGTTTTTTAAAAGATATCAGCAATGAGAATACACCTTCATCAAAAGAAGCATTTAAATCAGAATTTACGTTATACACATTACTACTCAATCATATAAATTTTGTCTTCCTAGCTGGAATTGTTAATATTTTGATTGTGTTGAAACTTGACAATTTATTTGGGCAGGTATATAATAATATATATTTGTTTATACATAAATTTATATCTTATATTTCATTGAAATAGTTGTGTTGATAACTTAATATGTATTGTTCATATATTCACAGACAATTATTATACCTTACTTATTATTGACGGTGGGACGTTTATGCAGCTGTACGACATTACACAAAGCACGAGACAACAGTTTATTAGTCATTGCTTTGATGTTGTGCAACGTTAAACCTAGATTAATTTATATATTCAAAGTATTATTCACATTAATCACTATAATATTTTATGATTTTTGCTTATATATGTTTAGTTTTGTATTGATGCGTTATATCATTATTCATTATTACTATAGTGCTATAATACTAATAAATGTATAATTACTCATGGTAATAGAGTGAGTAAAGTGGAATGCAGCTATATCAGTTTTTTTATCTTCAGCATTATACTGTGATTTTAACTGAATAAGCGTATAGATACTGTATAAAAAGCACAATTAATTTTTCTAAAAAATACTTATAGATACATGTAATTCTATTAATTTTAAACTAGATTTTGTACAGATGTAATGACTCTGTAATCTTATATTTATGTGATGTTGTATGTTGTAAATTCGTAACGTTTTTAAGATCTTTTCTACGGTTACTAAAATTGTTCAAGTGCTTGATGAATTATCAGGTGCTTATCATTTCTAAATAGATTGATAGAATTATGTAACAAAGTACAATCAATTACTGTTAAGAATAAATGTGTAATCAATATTCTGTTTTATGAAAATATCTCTAAAATAAAAGAAATAAGTAAAAACTTAATTCTTACAATTTTATTATACAATCCTAATCTAACAGCAGATAAAAAAAAATACTAGTATCTTTACATGTATGTAAGTTCTTTCGTTCTTTTTGAGGAAATTTTCATAGTGAAGGAGATTTTGCTTGGTACGAGATACAATCGTATTGATTGATCAGAAAATTTCTAACATTTGGTCTGTTCTTTATTCCTGCATTATCTGACTTAATGCACACGGTGCAATAAGTTGAAATAAAACAAACATACGTTTTTATTTTACTTCAATTTATTGCAAATAAAGAACAAACCTGTGATATAAAGTCTGTTCTTTATTTCTTATCATTATTGTGCATAATAGCACAATGCATGGTGATTAATGGATGGCAATGAAAGATTTCTTTAATCCACTTTAATCTGTCCCTGATAACACTGTGTGTGCTATGCAACTTGTGGCTGTAAATTTTTTGCAGTTTATTGATTCGAAATAAAAAATATATTTTCTATTTCATACAAACGAAATAAACATCATATGGTTCGCAAGGTTTTATCTATTTCTGAAAATAGTCCTCTAAGAAGGATTTTAAAAAAGGTTGCGATTATTGATATCCTCAATTTCTGGTGCAATAGCAAAAATTTTTCATCATTCGTCAGTCGCTATTAATTAGCACATCGATGCATGTAAGATCATCAAATGTTAAGTAAAATGATACGTAGGAGTGCCTGCCAAATAGCTAGCTCGATTCATTCAAGTCCTCATGCAGAGGTGTACAACGTTCCAATGGACGTAATTATTAGACCTTTTCTTGCTGAAGTGAACGAGGAAAAGGTCCAAAGTTTAATGAATGCGTTGAAAAACGTCGAAACTGAGGACACAGTACCACCCATTGACGTTTTGTGGATTAAAGGAAGCGAAGGTAAAGTTGTCAAAGTAACTGTGAAAAGTAATTTTTACATTCTTATTATTTATGTATTATTATAATTTTGAAATTTTTAAGCAGACGAGATTGAACCACTGTGAAGTAAGTTTTCTAGAAGAAATAATTAAATTATTGATTATATTGTAGGTGGTGATTATTATTACTCTTTTGGTGGTTGTCATCGTTATACCGCCCATCAACGATTAGGCAAAGTATCTATTAAAGCCAAAATAATTCAATCAACTTTAATGGATTTACGATGTTATCTGGGAAATTCTACTCCAGACTTAAAGTGATTGCATGTATATATGTGTATACATATCTATAATGTAACTGAATTACTTACAATACTTACATGAACATGCTTAAATATTATACTTTTTACTGTTATACATATATATATATATTGTATAATATAATTTTTGAAGAAAAATAATATGTAGTTAATTTATTTTATAGTAATATTGTTGATATACAGGGTGTTTAAAATTTAAATAGCCAAACTTCGGGAGCATGGAGGGGATCGATAAACTAAGTAAAAAACTCTGTAGAGATATGCTCGTTTTTGTTTCATTTTGGAGAAAATTGTAAAAAAAGATAAGCATAGTTTTCATTTTAGCATCTTTTTATTATTTAATTTACGTTGTATTTATTCACTTGGTTAATGTAGATATAACGCAACATAGAGAATGAGAGCAGAAATAATAATCTTAAAATAGAGAAAATTATTGGATATCCATTATTACTTGTAAAAGAGTTAATTAAAATAAACTTTGAGTTTAAAATGGATTTATTTTTTATAATAGAAATAAACAATATCAATATGCCTTATCAATATAACGGTACATATACTTTCAAAGAAAAAAAATTAAAGTTCAAAATTTATTATTTAATAATAAAGATCTTAATTGCGCTTAATTACATCGAATAATAATTAGAAAAAAGATTAATATATAATATTTTTATAAATATTATGAACTAATTTAAGAGATAGAAATTGTAAAATATATTATGCAATAATTATTTTCTATAATTACCATATTAAAAACTATATAATCAAAATTAATTTGAATTCTACAATTTTAGTTATTATTTTAGGATTTCAAAGCAACAATTTATACAATTAGCTGACATTTAATTTTAGGATGATTATATTCAATAATAAATATTGTTCAAATTTGACAAATATCTATCATTATTAAATATTTGTGATGAAATGTTTATAATATTTAGCAAAAACATGTTTTTTTTTAAATTAGTTGTACTGATTTGCATTTAAATTTGTTTTATACATATACAAAATATCAAATAAATTGATGAATCACAAATCATAAATCTTTTTATGCGTTTTAAAAAATTTCACAATTATATATTTTAATGTAAAAAAACTGTACAAAATGTTGTATCATAAAAAACATGTTTTACAACAAAAACTTATAAAAATTTGGAATAATATAGCAGTAAGATATCAAATTCTCACAGTATATGTGAGTATGTAACTCTCGTAGTGTAACTCTCTGTACATTATCTAATAAATGTCAGATTTAGAAATGAATTATGTATAATTTTTTCGAATATTTCCTATTTACTATTTTTTTAGAAGAAATATAAAATCTTTATCATATATAATTATATTACTATATATGTAAATAACTAGAGTATAATATAATTGTATTATTGCATGAACACTTACTATTAATATTATCTTTATATCGTATAATTAATATCCTTTATGTTTTTCGTATTAAGACTAGGAACATACTTATATGCGTATTTTTAATACATAAAACGTCAAAATTTATATTTTTTTTATTTATGTAATCATTACATAAAGTGTTTTCTATATCAATGTTTCCTATTTGCTTCTTTCAAAAAGTATGGTTTGTAATTTCTAGTGATATTATCTGCAGATGGATTATCTATATCCTCAACAGAATGAGATTGATTCGATTGACTTGTAGGCTTACTGTTTCGCAAATGGACAGGTATAATGGATTGTTGTAAATGTAGCAGTTGCGTATTAGTTACTTCGCAATCAATTTGCATCATTGTTATATGATTAGGTGGCGTTGAAAATGTACCTGAAAGAAAGACTTTTATAATATTGTGTCATTCTTACATATTGTTATATTAAATAATATCTTTTATTCAAACACAGATGTATGATATGTTCATATAATATTATTTACCATTTATAGGCACAGTAGGTAGGACTAAAGACATTTTAGGTCTAGCTGTGTTATTCTTCCGGGAAGCTGGCAATAATAAATGTTCGCCACTAAACCAGACAACATAAAATGTATCATCTTTTCTTCCTAAAGCTTCAAATAAAGAAGCATGCTCGCTCAATATTGGAGAAAAGATCTCAATTGCATTAGTATCTGAATATTGATTAACGGCAGGAATGTCAATCATTTTATGCATAGTTTTTATTTTTCTATCTCGTGATAAGTACAATTTCTTTCTTGTTTTTTCTTCCAATGGTGACCTTGACAACGATACATTTAATGAATCGGTTTGCAATTTCGTTTTTCTTAAAGCAGTCTGGTTATTTTGATCAGATTCACCAACAATCCAGCGTCTTAACTCGCTGTCTAAACGTATCGATTCACTTTGATTAATATACATTGGACATATTGGTTGGTGCGTCGGTATACTTTCATTAAAACTTTTTTCAATTCGATTTTCTATATTGCTATCGGTTTCATCTACTGTCCAAAATAATCTTCTGTTATGTTTATCGTTTGCTATAGATACTGATAAACTGTCTGATTCAGTTTTAAAATGTACATTTTGTGACGATGTTCCCCTTAAAAAGAAGTAAAAAAAAATACTTTATACTTGTGTCATATAAAATATATATATATATATATATATAATAAAACTATACATATATGTTAACTATTGCAAAAATTGTAAAATAAACAAGAGACTTTCCGTCTCAGTTTAGTCCGCTCTACCTGTCCACGAAATCCATCGGGTGAATTATGGGACATCCTGTATACTTTTATTTTTATGCTATACTAACATTGTAAACTTGAAATTTATTTTATAAAACATCTTATTACTGCTCGATTTAGACCGAATTTCTTTATATTTTGCAAAATTAAATTATACATTCATTTTACAGTAAATTATACTCTCTAAAAAACTTTTTCAAATCACATATATAAGTAAAAAGATGCATTGTAATGCTACACTTACCTAAAGCCGTCAACGTTGAAAGATACCATGAAAATTATACCGAAAAGAATAACGGCACTTCCCTTTAATTTCTTTTTCAAAGGATTAAAATTGAAATTTTTATGTTTGTTATTATTTGTGACATTGTTTTTCATTTCTGACAGTCTCTCTTTTAAGACTGTATTTTCCTAAAATATGTATATAGTATTAAAAAATAATTTATATTTTTTATTGATTTATAAATATAGTATATGTATATCTACATATAAAGAATAAGTTGTTTACCGATTTTAATCGTCTGTTCTCTTCTTTCAACTCAGATACTTTTTTCTCCAAAGAAGATACATATTCCTTTTTCTTTTTTCGTGAGAGGCAAGCAGATTCTCTATTTTTTATCATTCTTTGTTGCCTTTTTAATGCCTTTAATTTATATTCTTGATTATTTTTTGGCAAATTTACGAAATCAATCACTTCATCTTGTACAATTAACGAATTGGAGTTCATTTTATTCTGCATTACTTGAAATGGTGTATAACTCATGGTTTTATTTGAAACAACAATATTGTTACATTTCACAGATCCATTGTTTAAAATAGTAGAATTATCTATTGATTCCGTAGTATTCGTTGGAATGTTTGATATAGTATTGATTATTTTTACATTCTGTGGTAATTGAAATGTAGTCGTTTCTGTTTTGTCAGTTGAGTTAATATTCAATGAATTTTGTTTATTTGCCGGTAATATCCGAAGTTTTGAGGGATATAATACTTGCTGTGAATTTGCGTTCTGTGCAAATGTACCAAAGTCTTGGAAAAAGATAGTATTTTGAGGATCGCCTGTAGGTATTAAAAGTATGAATTATAGACATATATATATATATATATATATATATGTGTGTGTGTTTGTGTGTGTGTGTGTAATATAACATAATTTTATATAATTTTTAAGTTTCTTTTTGTTTATGTAAAAAAAAATATGAAATATTTGCACTACAAGTTTTGATAAAAATTTAGATTAGAGACCAAGCTCCCTGAGTGTCCTCTAACAAGTTTTATCGACGGCTAAAACTTGTTGGAGGTCACTCAGGATCATGATCTTGACAACATAATATCACATATATGATATATATATATTAAAATTTAGTGATTTCCAAGATAATACACCTCCTTTTAATTGCTAACATACTATTTGAAGATTATCCTGTACTTATATAAAGATGATGTAATATTTTTACCATATTTTATATTTTGTGCAATATTTATAGGTTGAATATGAGCATGCTTCGCAACATCCGTTTTTGTAAGGACATATTTTGGAAGCTCCATATCTTCTTTGCTAACAGGTATGAATTTAATTTGTTGCATTGCATTTGATGTATTTAAAGGGGAGTGAGGTGATTGCGATAACGGAGATGTACATTGCCGAGAAGAAATTATTGGTGTCTCTAAAGTAAACTAAAAGAAAAAAAATTCTGTTATTAAATATACATTAAACTTACATATTTTTGTCAATACTATATATATTCTATAGAACATACTTCTGTTTTTATATTTTGCATACAGTTCAACATTTCTTGCATCGAACAGTTTACTTGGCTATCTGAATCATTAGATTCTGAATGGTTAAGGCTACTGGGTGATAGTGGAAATTGTACAGTTGGACTTTCAGGTTCAAACTTAATTTCATTTCTTATCCCATTTATCTCATTTAATCCTAAAAAAATTTCAGGTAAATAATTATTTCTAAAAGATAATATTTTAATATATACCTGAGTTATTTTGTGCCTGATTAAAGTCAATCTCTTTAAAGGGGGTCCATAAGTCAAAAATATTTTTCACTCCTTCATTTGTAGTTTTATCATCATCTGATATCGTTTCTCCATCTGACATAATAGGTATTCCTAATTCAGAACTCCATGATTGAAAAAGATCATCAGAAATGAACTGATTGTTTCCTTCTACAAAAGAAACATTTTAATAATTATAGGATGTATAATACTGTAAAATCATCTGAGTTGAGAAAGTTAATAATTTTTTTAAACTTCTAAATTAAGTTAAAGTTAATAGCTTATAAAATTAATAAAATTAAATTAAAAATTGAAAAAATAAAAAATTAACGTAACTAAAGTTAAATTAAGATTGAATTAACTTTAGTTAAAAAAGAGGTTAATTTTGAAAAAATTATTTTGAGATCAGAATGTAAATTTTTCTTATTTATCTGACTCTTACAATGCCATTTTTATGTT